GGAGGGAGATTTCATCTACACTGAATATGTATAAATATTTTTGCTTGTATCATTCCCTAAACAATATACTATTGTTATAAGGAAAGGGCCTTCTGGGGAACTGAGGCAGAATGAAGACCACATCCCACTTTCAAATGCTGATTCTTGCATTTATTGACTGGGTTATTTGTTTTTTTGATGTTAAGTTTTTTGAGTTCTTTATATATCCTGGAGATTAGGGCTCTGAGGTGCATGTGGGAAAAATTTTCTCCCAATCTCTAGGCTCTGTCTTCACATTATTGTTTAGTTTGCTGAGAAGAAGCTCTTTAGTTTGAATCCATCCCATTTATTGATTCTTGGGTTTACTTCTTGTGCTTTAGGAGTCTTGTTAAGGAATCAGGTCCTAAGCCAACATGATGACGATCTGGACCTAATTTTTCTTCTATTAGCTGCAGAGTTTCTATTCTAGTGCCTAAGTCTTTGATCCACTTTGAGTTGATTTTTGTGTGGGGTGAGAGATAGAGGCTTAATTTCATTTTGCTACATATGGATTTCCAGTTTTCCCAGCACCATTTGTGGAAAAGGCTATCTTTTCTCCAATGAATGTTTTTAGTGTCTTTGTCTAGTATGAGATAACTGTATTTATGTGGGTTTTTCTCTATGTCTACCACTGGTCTTCATGTCTGTTTTGGTGGCAATACCATGCTGTTTTACTTAGTATAGCTCTGTTGTACAATTTAAGGTCTGGTATTGTGATGCCTTCTGCTTCATTCTTCTTGCAGAGGATTGCTTTAGCTATTTTGGGCCTCTTATTTTTCCAAATGAATTTCATGACTGCTTTTTCTATTTCTATGAAGAATGTCATCAGGATTGTTGTAACAGAAGTGGCATTAAATCTGTATATCAGTTTTGGGTATATGGCCATTTTGACAATATTAATTCTGCCTATCTGAGAGCATGGGAGAATTTTTCATCTTCCAAGGTCTTCAATTTCTTTCTTTAGTTTTCATTATAGAGGTCTTTCACCTCTTTTGTTAGGTTGATTCCCAAGTATTTTAATTTTTGAGACTACTTTTTGAGAGTAGTTTTCCTAATTTCTCTTATAGTATATTCATCACTTATATATAGGAAAAAATATGGAACACTTTACAAATTTGCATGTCATCCTTGCACAGGGGCCATGCTAATCTCTGTATGGTTACAATTTTAGTAAATGTGCTGACAAAGCAAGCACTTAACTGGATTCTTACCCTCAAATTCTTACAGATTTTATGATTAGGAGGAATCATCCTTATCTCCCTGAGTTTCAGGATCTGGTCTGTGACAAGAACCACAAAAATCTCCCCCTTCAGGGTAACATGGGTTCCTCTTATGGACATTATTTGGGGCCTGCATTTCTCCTAAAGATAACAAGTAGTTTGCTGAGGAATGTGACATATCCATCCTGTCTACCTAAGCCAGGTAGGGCTACAGGTAAACTGCTTCTTGGAAAAGAAAGCATGTGGGAATGAACATAATGTGCCCATTTTATAAAATTATTCCTTTAACCTTGTGTTCCCACCACTCACATCTGTTTGTCTTCTATCACTGTAACTATAACAGAACAGTTTGCTCAGAAGCAGTCTTTAACAGAATTACTTTCCCCTTCTCTTCTAATCTTTATCCTAATCTTTTAACAACTCATCCTTTTCACATGGTATTCTAAAGAGAGTCCTCCCCCTTAACAACCCTTCCTTTTATTAGCTCTTATGAACAGACTTGCAGAAAAGTAATACCTTCAGAAAAGAAATTGCAAGCCAGGTGTGGTGAAACATGCTTGTAATCCCAGTGACTCTGGAAACTGAGGCAAAAGAATCACAAGTCCGAGGCAAGCCTGGGCAATTTAGGAAGACCATGTCTTAAAATGCAATAAAAAAAAATATGGGGATGTATGAGCACTCCTGGGTTTAATTCCCAATAGGGCTGGGGACAGAGAGGCTCTACTTGATGTTCTGGGAAAGGACGAGACAGACAAGTGGAAACACAAATAATGGAGAAGAAGACTCACCTTGCATGTGGATGTCTTGCCTCTTATCCCACTATACCTTCTTTTTCTCCTATAAAAACCCTTTGCACCCCTGATGCCCCTAGCGGAGATTTGAGATGAAAAAGTCTAGTCTGTATTCTTCACAGCTGGTTTTGAATAAAACTGTTTCATTCAACCAAGTTTTTTTCCCCTCAAGTTTTAAGCTGAGTACTGAGCAGCACAAATATTGGATCCCTGAAACATAATAACTATTTACACAGCATTTATATTATATTAGGTATTAAATGTATTAGATATGATTTGAAGAATACTACATGATGTGCACAGATTATAGGCAAATACTATGCCATTTTATATAAGGGAGTTGAACATCCACAGACTTTAGTATCTGAGGGGAAATCCTGGATCCAATCATCCTCTGGGGATACTAAAGAACTATTCTGATATCTTAATTGAGAAGTTTCCTGTGTAAAGGTTTGACAAACCAGCAGTTATGAATCCACCACTGAAGTACCATGTAGAACCATCCTATCACCCTAGAAATTCCCCTGGGCAGCCATTTTACCTCTCCTAACATTTTCCAAATTTTCTAAATGGAGCAGGTTTACTATAGCAGTGAGAAAAAAGTTAAAAATGTTAATTTTTGAAAGCAAATACACACTGAAAGATATTAAAACAGACTGAATTTGGAAGTCTCCCTCTGAAATTAAGAGCAAATTTCTCTTGCTGAGAGGGAGCTAAAGGATTCTCCTCCAACAACCACCACCACCACTATGTCCTAAGGAAGCTGAGAATGGAGACTGTCCTCTTCCCAGGCCTGTGCAGCACACTAAATCTATACATGTACACTTCCTGCCTTTGTCTTACATCCTGCCTCTGCTGCCTGGGTGCTGCCTCTTCTCTTTTAAAAGCCTTGCTCACATTCATAGATCTCAAAGATGGAACTTTTAAAACAATAGGTTTTTTTCTGTCTTTTTTAAAAGCTGGCTTTGAATAAAATTTTCCTACCAATTTGACTCCAAATATTTTTGGAGCAGTGAGCAAACTTTTAGCCTAATCTCTTCCCAGAGGTAGTATTAGAGTGGCCCACTAATCATTTATAAAAAGATAGCTATAAAATATTAGCCAAATTGTATATAGACAGTAGGATCCCCAACGATTTTCATTTTTTTCTTTATTCTTTTTCTGTATAGCTTTTCAGTTTTATGATGGGTATATTTCACTGTAAAATCAGATTAATTTCTTTCAAGAAGGCAGTAATGAGGATGATACATTTTAGAAAGGTTTTTGTGAAAAGCATTTGATTTTAAGTGGCAGACTGGCAAGAAACATTCCACACATGCAAAAAAGATCTACAATTTGTTTTTAACATCTAACAAGCTATTCAAAGTTTAGAAAAAGACAACCCACTAGAAAAATGGGCAAAGTTTATGAAGAGAAAGGTTCATAGAAAAAGAAATGCACATGGTTTATAGACATCTCACAATTAAGGAAATGCATATTTAAACAATGATTAAATACCATTTCTACCTAACAAATTTTGATAAAGCAGAGTTCCTGAGGTGTGGCAAAACAAGTACTCATATACATTATTGATGAGAATGTAAATTGTAAGGCTTCTTTGGAGGGTGACTTAACAACAGTTAAAATTTTAAATGCTCATTAGCTTTTGTGTCACAATTCTACTTCACGGAGATTATCTTAGAGTATGTGTTCATATGTGTTAAAAAAATATACACTCACACACACACATACACACACATACACACAAGAAAGTTCAATGTCACATTAGTGGTAAAAGATAAGACGTAACCAAAAAGTCTTATCAGTAAAGGATTATTAAACAAATTACAATATAAATCATTCAATTGAATACTAGGAAGCCATTAAAAGCATGATGTAGGCTTATAAATAGGGCTAATAAAAAGAGCTGTAGGGGCTGGGGTTCTGGCTCAGTGGTAGAGTGCTCGCCTAGCATGCACGAGCCACTGGGTTCGATCCTCAGCACCACATAAATGTAAAATAAAGATATTGTGTCCATCTAAAACTAAAAAATAAATATTTTTTAAAAAGAGCTGCATACAAGATTCAAAACAATAATCATAGCATGTAACTATTTAACTTTTTTTAGCAACATATACACATATGTTCCTAAAGACACACAGAAAATTTCTGTAAATACATAGAAGAAACTGCCAACAGTGGCTATCTCCCTGTAACAATGTTGCAGTTGTTGAAAGAATCACTCACTGTTCAATGTAGAATTCGAAAACTTTTTCATGAGAATGTTACATGCAATAAATAGTATTTTTTAAAATATTGTAATTCATCAACATATTTTTTGACCTGAACTGTCTGGAAAATCATTTACACTGAATTAAACATTCCCCCATAGTATCAAATCTGAGAAATTCCCACAAATGTTTTAAATAAATATTCTAAAATTAACACCTAGTTCTATAATTTATTGTCATGAATTTGTAATAAGCTTACATTAAAAATGAAGTACGTTCATAAGCCAAAATGACTTTTTTCTCTGAAAAAAAAAAAGTCTATGTGAACAAAGACATGAATACTAATTCATCTCTAAAATGTTTTATTAAGTTTCTCTATGAGTACATTTGTTAAAGAATGTATCTTTTCAGGGAGAGTTAATATATATTGAATATCAAGCTTAAATATTTCCTCTAACACCATATTAAACAAGTACCAGGAGAAATTGTGACAAATCATTTCTTCTTAATTATATTTTCCTAGTACTTAATTCTATTTCTTACCTACTAAGTCAGAAATCACTCCTCCCCAAATTATAACTTAGTTTTATATTGTCTAATTGTGAATGAGAAGATGGTGCTTATCTTGAAAACTATTTTCTCTCTTACATAAAGGCTTAAATTTTCTACATACACTGTCACATGTCACTTCTATTTTGATAATATGGTTAAAAATGGATTTTGTTTGTTTGTTTTTTGCAAATTTCCATCTTTTTTTTTACCTGCTATCAGCTTCTCTGTATCAGGTAGATGTGTGAACTGTCTTTTGTATTCCTCATTCTTATCTTTGTATGTTGAACTTGAAATCTGCAACAATAGAAAAATTTTAATTTCTGCTTAATTATAATTGTAATATCTTAGAACATTAATAAAATTTAAAATCACATGTTTTTCTATGCAATATTTTATATGTCCTCACATGAAAAACATAAACATCTCAAAAACACGAAGGAGGGAAAAAAGAACAAAAGAAACGACTTCCAATATAATAAAGAATTTGGCAATTCTATCTCTTCAAAAGTGAATATATAGCTGGAAAAAAATATTAACAATCATCTCAAGTGGCTGGAAATTGATAAAAGATACACAATAAATTGTCAAATATTTGTTTATGAAATCTGAACTTGGGTTAGTAGAGCAGAAGTCTGTGGCCCTCTTTCCTGGGCCTGTTCTCATAACCCTTTCTCCTCTACCAGTTAAGTCAGTGGGATAGTTCTACCTAGGTAGAACAAGCCACAAAAACTGGCAGCTATGTTGACTGAGGTAGTTGAGCTCACTGGGAGTGGAAAGCAGGAAATCTATGCCCGGAAGTAAAAGGGGAAACCCTAAATCTATTCAAGCAAGTATGAAAGTTTGGTCCCCATTGCTGTAAGCCAAATGACAGATGAGCAAGGGACTTAACAGAGAAATCTTGAAGGAAAGGCAGCCACAGATGGGCTTGATATACTCTCCACATATTCCTGGCCAAACAGAGGCTTACGTGTATATGTAGAAGAGACTAGAAACAGCTATCCATATATTCCTGGCTAGGGACACAAGAGATCTCAATAGAACATAAAAACTGGGACAAACTCGAAAACAGCCTAAACTTTGAATATATTCCCCAATCTATACATACTGCTGTCAGTAGAAGGGAAAAACTATACTGGCTCTATGCATTTGAACACATCATTAAGCAAGCACTGAGTGACATGTATGGTGACTACTAGAAATTCAGCCTTAAAGAGAAAAACAATATAGTTAGGCATGATGGTGCAACCTTATAATTCCAGCAACGAGAAGGCTGAGGTAAGGGCATCTCAGTCTCAGCAACTTAAGTGCAAGCCATAGCAACTTAGTGAAACCTTTTCTCAAAATAAAAAATAGAAAGGACTGGGGATATAGCTCAGTGGTAAAGCACTCCTGGGTTTAATCGTCACAAAAGATAGAAAAGAGAAAGAGAAAGAAGGAAAAGACGGAACGAAGGAAGGGAGGGAAAATAAATAATAAACTGAGTAGAAATGTTAGTTCCCACATGTCACACAACAAACATTTACTCTAGGCAAGTTATTAAACAAATAAATAAAAATCAACAATGACAATCCTTTAGGGAAAATGCAATCAGAATCTGGAGATGGTATATTATCTAAATAGTTTAATTTTCAGCAAAACTATGAAAAATAAAAAGAAAAGTGTGACTTATACTAAGGAAAGAAAAAAAAAGGTAATAAGAAACAGTCTTTGAGGGTCCTCATACATTGGGTTTAGCAGACAAACATATCAAAGCAATTAAATGTGTCCAAAGCAAGAGAATCATGCTTAAAGGAAACCAAACCAATGACTCCACAATCATAGAAAATTTAAACAAATAGATTTTTTTGACAAATCTTTTTTAGATAAACAAATGGACATTCTGGAGTTGAAAACTACAATCCCTGAAATAAAAATTTCACTAGAGGGGCTCATACAGTGAACATGAAGATAGATCAGCATAACATCAAATATGAAGAACGGAGGGGGAAATGTTTGAAGAAAATAAATAGACTTTCAGAACCTGCAGGATAACATCAACTAAACCAAAATGCATGTAAACCAAAATGCATGAGTATCAGAAGGAAAAAGGAGAGGGCAGAAAAACATTTGAAGAAGCAATGGTCAAAATTTTTCAAAGATTTTTAATAAACCTCAAGTAAAAGAAACAAAGAGCATCACCCTTAGACTTAGAATAGTTAAACTACTATCTGGTGCCTTCACCAGAGGCCAAAACAATGGGGCTGCATAATCTTGGATTTAAACCTCCAAAACTGTGAGCCAAATAAACCTTTTTTCTTTATAAGGTTAGTTGTCTCTTACATTTAGTTGTAGTAATGCAAAACTGACTAAAACATGTCCCATACAACAATAGCAGAATGCACTTTTTTTTTCCTAACTCACAAGGAACATTCTCCAGAGCAGATTATATCCAAGCCCTCAAGACAAATTTCATCAAATTTAAAGAATTAAACCATATGAGATATGTTCTTTGTGAACAACAGAATGAAACTAAAGTCTAACAACACAAGGACTAGATTCCAGCTTCAAATAATCTGAATACTTGAAAATGGAATGAAATATAGCCATCTCCTATTGAACTAAGGGCACTTAAATACTGAGTTATATCCTCCGCCTTTTTAAAATGTTGAGACAGGGTCTCACTAAATTGTATAGGGCCTTACTCTGTTGCTAAGGCTGGCCTCAAACTTTTGTTCCTCCTGCCTCACAGTCTCCCAATTCACTGGATTATAGGTTTGTGCCACTACACCCAGCCAGATTAATTTATCCTCAATTTTTCCCTTTCTCTTATTCTAATCCACTACCAACACTCATTCCAAAAATATACTTTGGAGGTTATGGAATATGTCACAGATACTGAATCTCTGATAACTCTTCAGATCATTTTTTTATCAGATATCAACCATTAGGATTTTGGATTGCAAGATATCAGTTTATTGAATTTTATAGTATTTACATGTATAAATATGCACAGACAGTGTTAGAATACTTTATAAAGTAAGAAGAGTTATTTTCGAAAATGATCATAGGGAATTATAAGAAAAAGAAGGATTTTTTTTTTCTGTCTTGGAGATTGCATCCAGGGGTTTTCTACTACTGATCTATATCCCCCAACACTTTTTATTTTTTGAGACAGGGTGTTGCTAAGTTGTCCAGGCTGGACTTGAATTTGTGTTCCTCCTGCCTCAACTTCCTGAGTTGTTTGGTTTATAGCGCTACATGACTGCTCCTAATGAAACTGGGACCTTTAAAAACATAAACTTAAAATGTTTTAATATTTATTGCTTCAAATATTGTTATGTACCTCATTCTATCTCCATTTCCTTAACAGTCTCCTAGAAGCACAGCCATTTTTAATTTTAATGAAGTCCAATATATCATTTTTTTCTTTTACCTCTTGAAATTTGGTGTCACATCTAAGAAACTATTGCCTAATTCAAAGGTCATGAAGGTTTATAACTATGTTTTCTTCTAAGAGTTTCATAGTTTTAGCTCTTACATTTAGGTCTATGATACACTTTGAAATAATTTTGTATATGGTGTAAAGCAGAGGTCCAATTTTGTTCTTTTGCATGTGTATATCTAATTGTCCAGGTACCATTTGTTGAAAAGACTATTGATTCCCTCATTAGATAATTCTGGCAGCTATCTCAAAAATTAACTGATCATAAAAATTTAAGAGTTGATTTCTGGATTCTTAATTTTATTCCATTAATATACAAGTCTAGTCTTATGCCATGTTGATTACTATAGCTATGCAGTAAGCTTTGGAACTGGGGTGTATGCATCTCCTAACTTCATTATTTTTCAAGGTTATTTTTGGTAATTCTGGGTCCCTGGTACTTTCAGTGAATTTAATTTCAGCCTGTCAATTTCTAGAAAAAAAGCCAATTTGGATTTATATGATGGCACTGAATCTGTGCCATCATTTGAGGAGTACCACCCTCTTTTTACAATATTGTGTCTCCTAATCCATGAATATGAGATGTCTTGACTCTTGATTATCTATTTAAATCTCTTTCAATGAGGTATTATAGTTTTCAGTGTCTAGTAGTCTCTCTATATCACAGGTTTAACTGTCATGGTTTCTTGTAATAAACTGTGGTCTGAAAATATTAAGTAGAAAAATCCAGAAGTAAATAATTCATAAGTTTTAAATAACTTCTATTAAAACATATTGTTATCATCATTAACTTTATTAATACTTATTGTTGTTCATTTTTTACTGTGCCTAACTTATAAATTAAAATTTATCATAGGTAAGTGTAGGAAGAAACATAGTATATATAAGGATTTGGTGCTATCCACAGTTCCAGGCATCCACTGGAGATATGAAACCCAACCCCTAAGAATAAGAGGGGATGTGTAATATTTATATTATCAAATATAGCCCTTTGATAATCTGTGGCAATGAGAAATTTAATACAATATTATATCTGATTTGTTTAATTCATTCCTAACTACTAATTTGATTTTATTATAAATGGAATTTTGTTTTCTTAGTTCATTTTAAGGTTGTTCACTGCCAGTGTACAGAATTACAATTAATGTTGGCTTTGGAATAGGAAAATGGTTTGGGAAGTGTTGTTTCCTTTTCTGCTTTTTTGGAAGAGTTTTTAAAGAGTCTGTGTTAATTCCTTAAACATTTGCTAGAATACACCAGTGAAGTCATTTGGTCCTGAGCTTTTCTTTGTGAAAAGTTTCTATTGTTTTCATTTTGGTGGTTGGTGTATTTTGTTGTTGTTTTCAATCTTTTTTGTGGGGCTGGGGAGTAAACCCAGGCCTTTACATATACTAGGAAAGAACTCACACTGAGCTACATCCCCAGACTGAAAGTTTCTTAAACTAAACAGATGACCCAGCCATTTGCTCTCCTGGACACTTTCTACAAAGAGAAAACCTGATGTTCATACAAAAACCTGTATACAAATGTTTATTGCAGCTCTAGTGTCATTTCTCAAATCTGGAAACAACTAAATGTTCTTCCACAATGAATTTCAAACCATGGTACATCTTTACAATGGAATACTGCTCAGGATTAGAAAGGAATGAACTTTTAGCATACACACATAAAACCTAGATGCATCTCTAGGGAGTCATGCTGTGCAAAAACAGTCAATACGAAAAGATTACATACAGTTCCATAACATACAGTTAAGATTACATACAGTTCCATAACATTCTTAAAATGCCACAATTATAAAAAGGGGGGAGAGGGGGAGAGAGAGAGAGAGAGAGACAGAGAGAGACAGAGAGAGAGAGAGAGAGAGAGAGAG